ATCGGAGGGTGCGGGCCCATGTCACACTGCAGGTCACACTTCTCGAAGCCCCAGACCAGGCCTGAGAGGCAGCAGCATTTACTGAAAGGTACAGGTGTGTGGATTTGGGGGAGAGTCATTTATTCATTCAACAAACAGGTTGACACCTCCTTTGTGTCAGGCTGGGGCACCCCAGGAAACTTGGGCAGCTCAGCCTCCGTGGGGGGTGGGGGGTGCTGGGGGTGCAGGCCAGGGTCTCTCCAAAGCAGGGCCAGGGAGCCCTGGAGTACGTGCAGGCCAGCTGAGACGGGCATGGGGCAGGGGTGTAAGATTATACACTGACTTGGAGCTCCTGGAGGATTTGGACTTTGTTCTGAGGGATGAGTTCCAAGGTGGGAGGGCAGCGTCAGATAGGGCTGTTACTTGGCTCGTGGGGATGAGGCGGTGAGGCCGCTGTGCTGTCCAGGTGAGCGCTGGTGGTGGTACGGCCAGCATGGGACAGTGGCACTGGGAGGGGGGTTTGAAATGTATAGGACATGGACCCGACGGGGCTGGGTGAGAGGTGCGCAGGGTCATCGAGGGGGGACTCCTGGCGTGTGCGGCTGGCTGGATGGTCACATCGCTGACGGGGGCCCAAAAAGAGGAATGCTGGGAATTCCCGACGTCATCCAGCGTTGCTGGGTGTCGGCTCAGGTCACGGGTCATCAGCTGAGGTGGTTGGAACAATCTGAGCGAGGTCTTTGTGCCTCATTTAGCAGCGGAGGGTCCCAGGCAGACCGGAAACCCCCCCCTCCCCCCGGTCTGCTCCTCTGTCTCCCTTAGCCCAGCTGACACTCGACCTCTCAGTCCACAGGTGTTTCCACCACCTGCCACCCCGCACACAAGGGGAAGTGCCCAGGGGAGCGCCACGTCAACCAGTCTTCGCCTCCACTTTGCATGGGGGTGCCCCCCACGCCGAGGCCCCAGGATGCAATGCCTGGAACCAAGCTTTCCAGCCTTAGCTGGGTTCTGTGGCTCTGCGCTGGGGAAGACCCGCTGAGGACAGAGGAAGGGTGGGGTATGCCCTCCCCTCCCTTCCCTGCCTCAGGCCTTCTGGGTTGGAGACTTCCACACTGAAGTGGCCCTTTGTATATTGTCCCTGCAGGACAGGCAGCCTGGAGGGAGGGGCTGGCACTGCCAGGGCTGCCTGGGCCGGATGGGGCTGATCTGAACGGGACTAGGAGACCCCTGCTAGGCGTGGGCACGCACTGGCCAGGCCTGCTGCCTGCCCCATCCCAGACCAGACGATACTTGTCACTCAGAATCTGTCTCCAGTTCTCATAAGAGTTCCGCCGCCATTCGGCAGGTGTTGATGGAGCGCTGTGCTCAGGCCAGGTGTTGTCAGGGGGTGTGGGGCAGCGGTGACCAGTAACCAAGGCCCACAGTGACCCTGCTCTCCAGTTGTTGACATTCCGAGCGAGCAGGGTGTGGGTGGGGGAGACAGCTTCCACAGCGAGGAGTGCTGTGGAGCAGATGGCCTGGGAGGGGACAGTCGCAGCAGCTCGCTGGTCAGGAAGGCCTCTCTGAGGAGGTGGCCGACATGGGGAGATCTGAGGGAAGGGCATTCTAGGTGGAGGGAACAGCCAGTGCGAGGACCCTGAGACAGGAGGACCTGGGGTGTGGGAGGGACAGAAAGGCAGGGACTGTGGCTGGAGCAGAGTGGGCAAGAGGTGAGGTCAAGCAAAGAGGCAGGGGCCAGCTTGGCAGGGCCTGTGGACCCAGAGAGAAGTCTGGATTTCACTCAGAGTGTGCGGGGCCGGAGGAAAACGGGGGTCCGAGGGGGTGTCATGCAGGGGAGACATGGCCTAATGAGAACTTGGCGGTGACAGACTTTGTGGGGCCCAGGGCCCAATGACAATGCAGGACCTCTTGTTCAAAACTTAAGAATTTCAAGATGGAATTTTTAAAAAGGAGGAGGCAGGAGGGAGGCCGGTGAGGAGGATCGGGGTGAGTCCTTGGGACCATTTTCGAGGGAGGTGACAACAGGCCTTCCTGTGAGTGCCCCAAACAGGGTGAGGCGTAGAGGGGGCGCATGAGTCTCAGCTCGGAGGCCTGGTCTGTGTCAAGACCTCATTTCACATGAGGGGCTGGTCGGTCCCACGCTGCTGCTGGGAACTCTGGGGCCCGGGGACCTGATCACACGGGCTGAGGAGGGGCAGGCAGGATTTGAATCCAGCTCCCTGTGACTCCATATTCCAGGGAGCTGTGGTCCCAACGCGGTGCCCTGCCCCCTTCGCGTCCTGAGGGGTTGGGCTTGGGGGCATCTTGCACAGCCTGGGCCCAGAAATGAGTTTCCGCTCTTGTCCGGACAGGAAGCACCCAGCTCGGGCCTCAATGTCCTTGCTTTTCCTTCTAGAGAGCCTGGGAGGTGTGGGCATCCTGATCTCCATCCCACAGATGTGGAAACTGAGGCTGGACAGAGCTGGTCTCGGCCTCCGGCCCCCTGGGCTTGTCTGCTTGCTGCCTCTCTTCTCTGGACAGGGCAGGTTGAGCTATTGGGGCCTGGAGGCCCAGTGTTTGGGAGGTATTGGGCCTCTGGGTTCTGTAAGGATGTGAGTGATGAGACTGCATGGGGCACGGCTTGGTCAACATTTATCCAAGGACTGGGTCCTCCTTTCTCTAATCAGCAGGTCTGTTAATGTTTTATTCTTTGCTCAGTTAATTTTATATACTAGAGGCCCAGTGCACAAAAATTTGTGCACTCGGGGGGTCAGTTTGTCCCTCAGCCCGACCTGTGCCCTCTCCCAGTCTGAA